GTCTTTTGCTGTATCCCCCGGGCCTGGAACCGGAATGTAATAGATGTCTAATAATTTTCCTGATTTACGCACTTGACCCTTGAACCCCCTGTGTGGTCAGAATTCCACATACAACTTTTGACTCCCCAGAAACTTAGCTGCCAACAGTCTACTGTTGACTGGAAGCCTTATCGACAAAATAATGATATAAGGTGTGATTAAGAAAATCCTAAGAAAGAGAAAACACATTTACAGTGCTGGCCTGCATTTATCGGAAAAAAATTGACACAGAAGTGGATCCATGTTGTTCAGGGGTCAACCATATAGGGGAATCGGAACAGAGAGGGATTTGGCATCGTTACTCCGTTTAAGGAGTGACCGCTAGTCTTTGAGATTTTTTTTTTTCCTGCCAATTTTGGGGTAAATTTCAGGTAATTCTTACTTCTGAATATAGTGGCCAGTTGGTTCAGACGCTGTCAACCAAGCCAAGTCCATGGTGGTATTTGTGAGCCAGCTGTTCCCCGGGCCAGGGAGACCACACCGTTGCTGATGTTGGGCGTGGGGCCGCTGTGGGAGCCGTGAAAGGCTTTAGGCTTTGCTGGCCTCCCGGTGTTTCTCCACAGGCTACTACGATGTCAGCTGTGTGAGCTTCTGGGATTCCATCTCCACCTTTTTAACATGTAAGTGTTCTTTCAGCTTGTGGTCTTAGAGGAAAGATGGCACCGACGGGAAGAGTCCGCACTCAGGAGGCCAGAACAGACAAACAGCGACCTCGTGATTAGTAGGGCATACATTCATTTTGAGCCAGAAACTTGTAAATAGCCCCCAAATTCTGATAGTTTCACTAGAACTGGTTTTTACAAAACAGTTCATTTGTGAGCTTAAGTAATGTCTTTTGCCTTAACGGTAACTGCCGCCGTCTGGACAAGGGGACCAGGGGACCAGGGGACCAGGGGAGCGTGTGGGAGCCTCAGCTAGAAAGTATCCAGGCGGGCAGTGTAGTCATACCAGTGAAATTCAGCCATGTTCTGTGATTGACGGCGTGATACCTTAGTATCTTAAAAGTTCAAACAAAATAATATCGGTTGACTGCAATAGAAGTGAGACTGGAGGGGCGCCTGGGGGGCTCACTCGGGACTTCGGCTCAGGTCGTGATCTCACGGTCCCCACGTCGGGCTCCGCGCGGTGTGAGGCACGCCTGAGATTCTCTCTCTCTGCCCCTCTCCTGCTCGCACGCACTCTCTCTACAACAAAACGAAACAAAACTTGTAAAAAATGAGGCTTGAGGTTAGGAATTTGCTTCAGTTCGGATGGATCATTAATCCTCACCCTCATTTCATTGAAATCACGTATAATTTCTGTGTTCCACGCACTGGGCTGAAGTGTGCTGCTAAAATGACTTCTTGGCGCACTTTTCTTAATTCTCAGGGGAAAAAATTGGTCGCTAGGTCTAATGTCCTCAGATTAAAATTTTGGCCTGTGTTCTTTGCCCTATCAGATGAGCTAGTGGATGAGGAAGTAACTGAGAACAATAGCTTTCACACCGAGTTGAGTCACAGTCACCTGGAGGGCTTATTAAAAGCAGGTTGCTGGATTTCACCCCAGGTTTTCTGCTTTTTATCTGAGTGAGAATCTCAGTTGGGACTTAAGTGGAGAGATTACTTACTGTTCCTTTTGTCCCTTAAATCTCTCCGAAGCCACGTCGCTCTTTTCTGTTCCACGCGTAGTTCTATTTTGTGTCTCATCATCGAGGGATATCAGGACTCCTGAGTCCTAAAAACACATTCTCCAGCCATTCTCCACGAGTTGTGTGTTCCGTGAGGGCGTTCTTGAGATGGGCTTCCTCAAGGACCAGATGCACCTCGCCTGGTCCTGGTCCTGTGAAGGTGCAGACTCGGGGCGGAGGCGGGAGGGCGGGTGGTAGGGAGGCGCGAGTGGCGGCAGTCACGTCTTAAGGAGAGGACTTGAGAGGGTCAGGTTATAACTGTGGTATTTTACAGCCTGAGACACATACAGAGATCGTTCCTGCTAGGCATAGGCCACACCTTCGTTTATTGATTCCTTCGTCACTGGAGGGCCTCGGATCCAGTTTGTGCTGTGCTGGAGAACAGGAAAATGAGTTCTTGGCCTCAGGAACCCGGGCAGTTAAGGAGGCAGGCAGACCATTGCAGTGTAGCGACATAAGGGTTTTCACCTAAGTTTTGTAGTAGGGATGTCCACCTGAATCTGGCGGTGAGGGTCAAGGAAGACCCTGGAGCGTGAAGAGGTTGGCCAGACGAAGAGATGGGTCAGACTGTTACAGGCACAGGCGAAGGAAGAGTGTCGTGGGCCTTGCCTTTTTTCCAAGCTTTCTTTGTCTTTATGCTTCAGAAGCATACTGCTCCTAATTCCTCTGCCTCTTCTTCTGAGTACACATACAGGACATTTGGTCGTCAATAGGTCTCGTGTTCAGTCTGATAAAACGTAATAATTGAAAAATCTCCAGCTTATAACCACTGTGTCTGTAGTTTTACCTGCCTTTCCTTTTTTTCTTTTTAATTTTTTTCATGTTTATTTTTGAGACCGAGACAGTGCGGGTGGGGGGAGGGCCAGAGAGAGGGAGACCCAGAATCCGTAGCAGGCTCCAGGCTCCGAGCTGTCGGCACAGAGCCCGACGCGGAGCTCGAACCCACGAACGGTGAGATCGTGACCTGGGCTGAAGTCGGACGCTTCACCAGCTGAGCCACCCAGGCGCCCCGTACCTGCCTTTTCTGTTGTTCGTGCAGCGTCTTCTGGGTTTCGTGAGGCGGACAAGAACAATGAAAGGCTAGGCAAATGAAAGTTGAGTGCTAATTGAATTTAAGTGAAAGAGCCAGGAGAAGAATACATAGTAGAGAACGTTTGTAAACAGCATCCTTAGTACGGATCAGACATTCTTTACCTTTGTACGTAAGCGTGTGGCTCACACACACGCTTTACCACTGTGAATTCACACACGAGCCCTGTGACCGTGGAGGAGACCTGAGATCAGGTAAAAACTCAGTGTTTCGTATTTTTGTTGGGTATTGTTAAAGGCGTGACCCAGTATACGTTTCTGGAAGTACCTCAGAATAGTTTATCATTTGTGTTGCTCTGTGCGTTCGTAAAAAAAATAAGGAAAGTCGGCCTCTGGGTGGTCTAGCGAGAGACCCTCGGGTGGCAGTGCCGGGTTCTCCTGGGGATCCTGCCCCCAGCCTGATTGTGTGGCTCTGGGCACGAGCGTCAGCCTCTCTGGCGTCGGTTCCACGTGCAGATGGAAGGAAAAGTTCAGATAGCTCTGAACTTTTGTGTTTTTGCACTTTCTTATCCTGGAGCCTTTTTAGTCTGATTTATATTAGAGCATAATTCCATAATGAGGTGATGCCACGGACATCCCTTTCTGTGATCTGTTACACTCTTATTTCCAAAGGGCCTTACAGATTATGAGCATCCCTCACTAGCCAAATCATTCACTTCCCAAATTCAGCTAATTAAAATTCAGATGGTGAGGGATATCTCTATATTGGCAGATATTACAGTTACTCAATTTTTGTTGCTGTTGTAAAGGCAGACATTTCATGATGGGCAAGACTTTGATATTTGAGTATCAGTCCCTGAAGTACCTTGAGCATTGACTTCAAACTGACAACAGAAAGGCAGAGCTGTTGTGGACAAAGCTTGACTTAGACCCCTTTTCTTAAGCTCTCCTCGTAACAGGAGAGAACATCCTTGGGATTTTCTCACACAGTTAATACACCGTTCCCAAAACATGTAATTTTTTTTTAATATTCATTTGCTTATTTTGTTTAAAAAAAATTTTTTTTTAATGTTTTTATTTATTTTTGAGACAGAGAGCATGAGCAGGGAAGGGGCAGAGAGAGAGGGAGACACAGAATCTGAAGCAGGCTCCAGGCTCCGAGCTGTCAGCCCAGAGCCCGACACGGGGCTCGAGCTCACAGACTGTGAGATCATGACCTGAGCCAAAGTCGGACACTCAACTGACTGAGCCACCCAGGCGCCCCTATTTGCTTATTTGGGAGAGAGAGAGAGAGAGAGAGAGAGAGAGAGAGAGAGCACAAGCAGGGGAGGGGCAGAGAGAGGGGGAGAGAGAGAGAGAATCCTGAGTGAGTTCTGTACTGCCAGCACAGGGCCCGACGCCGGGCTTGAACTCAGGAACCGTGCGATTGTGACCTGAGCCAAAATCAAGAGCCCGATGCTTAACCGACTGAGCCACCCAGACGCCCCTACCAAAACGCGTAATTTGAGCAGATTATTAAGCTGTACCTAAACGTCCGCATAACAAGGTGCAAAATTATTCTCACTGGCAAGCGAGAGATAGACACTTACGAGCACTTAACTCTTTGTCGGTGGCTGTTTGCAGCACAAGCAATGAGCAACACGAGTGAATTCCTCTCCAGAGTCTGGGCGTGCTGAGTGACAGCACAGATGACACCGGATGGCTTGGGGAGCCGAGTGGTCCTTAAAGAGTGGAAACATTAGTTACTAAATTACCTTTTTTTTTTTCCTCCAAAAAAGTCTTTATTATTTATTACATACAGAGGGGAGGAGTTCAGTCCTTGGCTGCCACTCTCCTCACGGCTGCCAGGACGTCGCTCAGCACCTCTCTCGTCCTTTTGGCATGGGTGTGCGTCCCCTCCCTTTTCTCGATGAACTTGTGGTGCGCTTGTCCTCGGAGGCGTCGGGCAGCGCATGGCGCACCTCGGGTGGCGTCCTGCACGAACTCGGGGTGTGCTTGGTGAGGGGGCCACGGCCGGGCCTTGGCTTGCTCCTGTCCTTCCCTCCTGGTGGCCCTTGCTGAGCGCCCCCCCCCCCCCCGCGCCACCCCCCACCCCACCCCCGCCAAACGCAGAGCCTGGGCTGCTGCTCCTCGGTGGCCCCTCGGTGGCCCCGGCAGCCCGAGACGGAATTCCTTTCAATACTTTGTATCTTTCTCAAGGGTCCGGGCAGTATGGTCTCTTACGTACTTACCTCCCGGTTCTGTTTTTCATGTTTTGTTTTGTTAGGAGAGAACGTTGGAATTATTCTCTAAGCTATCTGAAGAGAACGACTCAATGCACCTGGGTCAGGCGGTCTGTGGGCATGAAGTGGTTGGGAGAATCCAAGAACATGGTGGTGAATGGCAGGAGGAGTGGAGGCAAGTTGTCTAATGACCATCCGCAGAGCCCGGCCAAATTGCAGCCCGCGGGGAAGGAGGCCGCGAAGGCCGGCAGACACGCGGTTGAGAGGAGGTCGAGCAGATGTATGTACACGATGCAACTGTCATTTCCGTTGTCGCGCGGGGCGGTGATTCTTCGCAGCTTGTAACGTGTATTCTGTCTCTGCTGTTTTCAAAACAAGTTTTCACGTGCTCCCAGCTAACGGTGCAGGTTTTTCTTTCTTTCTTTCTTTTTCACCCTTTCAGAGTTTTGACAGTCCTTACTCTCCTCTGACGTGTACGCCTCTAGTTCGGTGCTTGATAAGATCGCTTTAATTATGCTTTTGTATCCATAACTTTAAGTTCTATTTTGTAGCGTGGATGTCTGAATGGCTGACCTGCTCTATAAACTGTATTAAAGTGCTGCTGCTGAATTTCTTTGAAGTTCAAACTGTATTTTTATGTTTGATGTAAGTATAAGTATGTATCTCTTTGAAAACTGAGACGTGTGAATAATAAATTCAACTCTCATTTACAGGGGAAACGGAATTTAGGGCAGCGTCACAAATTGTCGCCGTTCCTTCCGTTTCTGTAGGGCGGACGGTGGTGTATCATCAGAGCATCAACATCAGAGCACTGTTGATGACGCGTGACTTCTCACCTTGCTCCTCCTCGGTGAGGGTGGGGCTGCTTGTGGAGGGTTCAAGAAATAGTTCTTTTAAGAGCAGGACAGTGCCCCGGGATGCGTGTGAGCCTTAGGTAGGCAGCTGCCTTAGGTGAAGGTACCCAGTGGCGCACAGCGTCGTGAGGGAGGACGGCTTTTTCCGTTCTTGTTTTTCCTGAGGTTAATTTAGCCCCTCCGGAACATCCTTCGTTTGCGTTGGAATTGGCCCGCTCTGAGCAGGGTTGGCTCTGCCTGGCATTTGGAACGGTTTCAGGTAGATTGCACCAGTCCTGACGGATTACCCTCATACCTGTTAGAGGTTTATGCAGTTTACGGGGCCCAGGCTGCCCTTAGCCTCTCCATATCAGAGCAGGTCACTGTGTCTTTAGTACACGAGGCAGAAATCCCTGCTTGGGGTAGGAGGGAGAGAGCCCAGGACTGGATAGATTTCTCCTATTCGTGGACACCCGCCCACCCTGTAGCACGTGACGGGAACCGAAAGGAATTGAGAAACGTAACGACTATAGCAGGGGTATTGGTTCCGGGCGGTAAATTAGGCGACTTTTTTTGGTCGGTTTTTAATTTTTCCATATTGCTGTTGGCCTTCTTTTTGGGCATCCCAGAGCAAAAAGGTCTTACAGTTGTTGGAGGTACGTGATAATTTAGAAAAACGATCGTTAGATGGGCTACGCTTTGCCGTGTGTAGACAGATTTAGAGGACAGGCTGGAAAAACCCAGAGAGTTGAAGACGGACAGCATCGTATTGAGTGTCATTGGACAAGAATGATACAAAAAGAGAGCCAGTGATGAAGCAAAACAAAGCAATGTTCCATCTTAGGTAAACCTCAGTGATTTCACGTGACAGAGCCACAAAATCCACGAAGCAGACGCTGACAGCATTGAAGGGAGAAACAGACAATTCAGTGATTTGGAGACGTCAGTTCCCCACTTTGAATAGTGAACAGAACAGTGAGGCAGAGGATGAACAGGGAAAGACTTAGACACTACCCTAAACCAGTGCTTCCTGACAAACGTCTGTAGAACACTCCGCCCACCAACAACGCACGTTCTTCTCAGGTGCACGTGGAACGTTCTTCAGGATAGGCCATAGGCTAGGCCACGCAACAAGTCTCAACAGACCTGAAAGGATTGGAGCCATACATCGTACGTTCTCTGACCACAGTGGAGTAAAATTAGAAGTGAATAATGGAAATTTGAGAGAATCACAATAGTTGACTCCTTGAAAAGATCGACAGAATCGGCAAACCTCTATCCAAGACTAATCAAGAAAAAGAGCAGAGTCAAGAATGAGAGAGGGGACATTACTGCTGCATTACAGAAATAAAAAAGGTTATAACGGACTACGCTGAACACTTGGATGCCAACAAACTCGGTACCTTAAATGAACAAATTCCTAGAAAGTCACGAACTACCAAAACGGATTCAAGAAGAAACACAAAAATCCAAATAAACCTGTAGCATGTAAAGAGGTTGAATCAGTAATTTTTAACACACACTACTAAGAAAGTCTCAGGCCTGGATGGCTTTGTTGGTGAATACCGGCAGACATCTAAAGAGGAATCAACACCAGTTCTTTACAGACTGTTCCAAAAAGTAGAAGGAAAGGGAGCACTTCCTCATGCAATAAGACCAGTATTAACTCTGCTACCAACACCAAAGACCTCACAAGAAAAAATACCCTAAAAAGTACAGTATCTCTATTAAAGTATGGACACAAAATCCTCAACAAGATACTAACAAACCAAATCCAGCAACAAGTGAGAATGATTCTGTTGCATAAGCAGGTGGGATTTATCCCAGGAATGCAAAGTTGGCTTTATACCTGAAAATTAATGCTCCCACTTCAGTAGCATGATGGACAAAACCCATATGATCATTCCAATAGATGCAGAAAAAGCATTTGACAGAATTCAGCACCCTTTCAGGGTAAAAGCACTCAACAGAGTAGGAACGGAAGGAAATTCTTCAACCTGATAAAGGACATCTACAGAAACCCACAGCTCATGTCCTACTTAATATTGAAAGACCAGTAAATGCTTTTCCCCTAAGATCAGGAGCAAGACGAGTATCCTTTCTCACCGCTTCTGTTCACTATTGTGCTAGAGGTTCTAACCACAGCGTTTAGGCAAGAGAATGAACTAAAAGGCATTCAGGTTGGAAAAGAAGTAAAAACCATCTCTCTTTGCAGATGACGTGATTGAGGAATCCACTAAAAAACATTAGAGCTTGGGGCGCCTGGGTGGCTCAGTCAGTTAGGCGTCCGACTTCAGCTCAGGTCATGATCTCACTGTCTGTGAGTTCGAGCCCTGTGTCGCGCTCTGTGCTGACAGCTCAGAGCCTGGAGCCTGCTTTGGATTCTGTGTCTCCGTCTCTCTCTGCCCCTCCCCTGCTCATGCGTGCGCGCGCGCGCGCTCTCTCTCTCTCTCTGTCTCAAAAATAAATAAAAACATTAAAAACAAACAAAAAACATTAGAGCTTATAAATGAGCTCAGCAGTATAGATCAGCACGCAAACTATAAAACTTACAGTTTGAAAACTGCAAGACATTATTGAAAAAAATTAAAGAAGACCTAAATAAATGGAAAGACATCCCATGTTCATTGATTAGAAGACTTAATATTGTTATGATGGCAGTACTCCCCAAATGATCTACAGATCTACAGGGATCTGTAGGGATCTACAGGGAGCGAACGCAGTCCCTATCAAAATCTCAATTGGCTTCTTTGCAGAAATTGACAAACGGATCCTAAAATTCTTGTGGAAATTCAAGGAACCCAGAGCAGCGAAAACAGTGTTGAGAAGGAACAAAGATGGCACACTCACACTTCTCAGTTTCAAAACTTACTACCAAGCTGCAGTGTTGTATTTGGCTAGACACCTATCCATGGAATAGAATCAAGAGTCTGGAAATAAGCCTTCATGTTTGTAGTTGATTGATTTTTGACAAGCATGCAAAGAAAATTAAGCGGGGAAAGAATAGTCTTTTAATAAATGGTGCTGGGAAAACTGGATATCCACATGCAAAAGAATGAAGTTGGACCCTACCTCACAGTATGTGTGAAAAATTAAAATGGATCAAAGGACCTTAATTATAAAATCCCTGGAAGAAAACAAAAGCATACATCTTCATGACTTTGGATCAGGCAGAGGTTTCTTAGATAGGACACTAAAAGCACAAGGAACAAAAGAAAAAAGGTAAATTGAAATTCATCAGTGTTAACAAACTTTTGTGCTTTAAGGGATTAACATCAAGAACATGAAGAGACACTCACAGAAGGGGGAAAAACATTTTAAAATCACATACCCATCCGATAAAGGACTAGTATCTAGAATATATAAAGAACTGTTACAAGTCAGCAGTAAAAGACACTCCAATTTCCTTCTTTCTCTTTCTCCCTGCCTCCCTCTTTCTTTCTTTCCCTTCCTTCCTTGCTTCCTTCCTTTATGAGAGGGAGAGAGAGAGTGTGCACAGGGAAGGGGCAGAGAGAGGGAGACAGAATCTCAAGCAGGCTCCACGCTGCCAGCGTAAAGCCTGATGTGGGGCTTGAACTCACAAATCGCGAGATCATGACCTGAGCTGAAGTTGGATTCTTGACTGACTGAGCCACCCAGGCGCCCCACAAACTCCAATTTAAAATGAGCAAGGGAATCTGAATAGACAGACATTTCTCCAAAGACACACAAATGGCCAGTACATGAAAAGATGCTTGAAATCATTAGTCATCCGGGAAATGCAAGTCAAAACCACAAGGTACCACTTCACAGCTGTTAGAATGTGTCAAGCTAAAAGGACAGATGGGGCACCTGGATGGCTCAGTTAGTTAAGCATCTCACTCTTGATCTCAGCTCAGGTATTGATCTCAGAGTAGTGAGTTCAAGCCCTGCATTGGGCTCTACGCTGAGCATGAAGCCTAGTTTAAAAAAAAAAAAAAGAAAAAAATGTTTATTTTTGAGAGAGAGAGATAGAGCATGAGTGGGGGAGGGGCAGAGAGAGAGGGACACATAGAATCAGAAGCAGGCTCCAGGCTCTGAGTTGTCAGAGCCCGATGTGGGGCTCAAACCTAGGAACCGTGAGATCGTGACCTGAGCCGAAGTTGGACGCTTTAACCGACTGAGCCACCCAGGCGCCCCTGAACTGTGCGCTTTAAATGGATGAATTGTATGGTATGTGAATTACATTTCAATAAAGAAAAACATAACGACTCTGATAGCTTTTACATACCTACACGCAAATGAATAACTTGATTACAAAACATATGCCTACCTACCTTTTGATAGGGCCTTAACATGTTGTGTTTAATTTGCTTTTTGAAAGAGTGTGGAAAAGAAAGTTACACCTTGCACTGTCTTTCATTCTTCCACATCTTAATTTTGAGAGGCTTCAAGTTATACTGTTGGCATAATTACATGCCTGAAAAGATTGTCTGTGACGTGCATGTCAGGCTTAAATCAGCACGGATGAAACTTCACCCATTTAAGTTTGGCTTTCCTTTGCTCTCTTTATAAACACCATCATTAAACCTCATCACTTCGGTTATGTATTTCCGGCATTTCTCTATTTTTATCCATTCATTCAAAATCTGTTTTAGACAGGTTAGAAATAGGCCTGTCATTCTCTCTCGCCTCCTTTCCTCACTTCTGCTTCCTGACTCTGTAGTCACAGGCAAGTCTCTTCTCCTGTGGGCCTCAGCTACCAGGTGGGGAGTGAGGGTCACCTGCCCAAGAGGAGGATGGCGGAGTTCACCCCTCGGGGGGCCGCCTCTTCGTACTTGATGTCCGTCCTGGCACTTCCTGCAGAGAGTTTCTTGTGTTCTTGTCTCCTGTGTCCCCCGGCCCTGTCCGCAGTGGCGCTTGATGCTGTCTTTTGCCACGGTGGTGAGCGTCCACTCATCCCATTTTTCGTCTTCCTTGATGGGACGGGGAAGGCATTTATTTGAGCCCAAGATTCTCACGACTACCCAGACCCTGTTCTTGGGAACCCTGGTAATATTACCTGCTAAGCAAAACGCTCTCGGTCACTCGCTGTGTTTGGCTTTCTGTCTGTGCAAAACGTACTCCGTTCTTAATGGCTGACTTGAGAGGGCAACGAAGCTAAAGGTTTTAAAGGTGGATTTAAGTAGTTTTCCCTTTGAGTTACTTTCCTTTCTCTTTCTTCTCACAGGTAATGGTAATTCGGGGTTCGAAGGCCAGAGTCGATATGTGCCGTCTTCTGGAATGTCTGCCAAGGAGCTCTGTGAGAACGATGACCTGGCGACCAGTCTGGTTCTTGACCCCTATCTAGGTTTTCAAACACACAAAATGAACACCAGGTAATTGTAAGTCTGTATCCTGAAGTGGAGCGGATGATGATGTTGAGTTTAAGAGAATAGATGCTAGTTTTACTTTTAGTCAGAATTTAAGATGACATCAAAGGAAAGGTCTTTGCTGTAGAAGATTTTGTGTTTGAGGCAAGAAAAGCAACAAAAGCTTCCAGGAGTCTTGTCAGTTTTAATTCTGTGTTCTTATTTTATCTCAGGCTGTTCGTATGAAAATATAAAGCTGGGGGAGCATCTCCTAGTCTATTTTAAATGTTGTGATAATTAGCTGAAAGAAAAATCTTAGAAGCATCCTGTGAAGCCTTGAAAATACAATAATTTTTTTTCTACATAAAGTAGGTTACATCAGGGGTTTTTTCATGATTTTATTACAGAGTTTTCTTCTAACTAATTGCAACCGTATATAGGGAATGTATTGCCGTCATGTTTAATCTTTGAGATTCACCTCGTCATTGGAATGAAGAGAATGTTAAAGACCTGCATCTGTCTGTCCAGTCTGCAGATCAGAAAATAGACACGGAGGTGCTTTATCGAGGCTCACATGCCATCTGTATAAAATATGGTTAACACTGCTTTTGAAGTCTGTTATCCTTTAAATTTTTTAGTTCACGGGGCGCCTGGGGGGCTCAGTTGGTTAAGCGTCCGACTTCAGCTCAGGTCATGATCTCACGGTTCGTGAGTCCGAGCCCCGCGCCGGGCTCTGTGCTGATAGCTCGGAGCCTGGAGCCTACTTCAGATTCTGTCTCTCTCTCTCTCTCTGTCTCTCTCTCTCTCGCTCGCTCGCTCGCTTGCTCACTCTCTGCCTGCCCTTCCCCTGCTCACATTGTCTCTGTCTCTCTCTGTCTAAAAAAAAATTTTCTTTTTAATTTTGTAATTCATCTTTTCTTAAGCATCTCTCCCCTGAAAATGGCCCTTAGATACTTTCATGATTGCCACCAAACACTAACTCGGAACTTTACAACTTTCCCTCTTAACGTGAGTGGCAGAGGGCTTTCAAGTCTGGTGAGTTGAGAATGTATAGAGCCAGTTCTAGGCCACCGATCCCTCCTACCTTCCTGATACTTGCAGCGGTGTTTTGTAGCTCCAGGGCCAGTGACAACCCCAGAGCAACTTGATCACCAGGTGACTAGTCGCCGGTAGTTGGGGAGGGAGGCATTGGCGAATGAAGGTGATTAGAGGAAACTCTTGTGCCATTTTCCCCCTTTTAATTCTGTCCGTTGCTAAGATGAAAACAAAAGACTGTATGATTCGTTTATCAATTATTTTCTACATCCAGAAAGAAGTGATTTGGATAAAAATGAGCCTTTGGTATTTTCATGATTCCTATTACCATAGATCTTTCCTTGCTAAAATGAAGTGACAAGTCGGAGTGGACTTGAGAACGTATTTAAATAGCTCCCTGACCTCAGAGGGGCAGATGCCTAAATTTTGTAAGTAGACAGGTGGATAGCTGTTGGCTGGGAAATCAGCAGTACGGGATGCCCTAATAGCCAAATAAAATCTGGTTTGCATTATTTTTTTCTTAGATTATTTTCTCAAGGAATGTTTTTAAAGTCTGGTTTTTTTTTAGTAATCTCTGTACCCAACGTGGGGCTCATACTCACAACCCCAAGATCGAGAGTCGCACGTTCTTCCGACTGAGCCAGCCGGGCTCCCCTGGTTTGCGTCATTTTCAGTCCATTTCCCTTCTTTTCCCCAGTGAGGCCACTGCTGCTTCTCCTAGAAGGTCCTGGTAATAGTTAAGAAATATGAATCGCTTTCACATAACAGTCTTAGAAAGGGTCAGGCTATTACTGCAAAGGCCCATAATTATGGCCTGGAGTCATCAAGGAAGAGAAAAAAGAGCTAGGTAGGTCACGTTCACTGTGCCCTGTATACTGAACTGTGGAAGCACATACACCATCATGGAAAGACTGCATCAGAATAACAGAAGGGTCATTGGTTTAGGAAGGAACTCCCTATAGTCAATTCTTTGCTCCAGAAGATGAGCAGTTTACCTGTTACTGGCTTCTACAATAGGAAGTTACTCCTATTTTTTAATAAAAGTCCTGACAACTGTTTCCTATAATTAGTTTTACATATGAGTCACTTGGGGAGTCTTGTTAAGATGCAGGTTCTGATTCAGTAGCTGTGGGCTGGGGCCTGAGATGCTCCATTTCTAACAAGCTCCTGACTGTACTTGGAATAGCAAGGTCCTAGGCCATCTGGCCTCCTGAGCTTTGTTGTGATGTAATGAGTACATAAAAGGTCCTTATCAGGGGGCGCCAGGTGGGGCTCGGTCAGTTAAGGGTCCGACTCTTGATTTCGGCTCAGGTCGTGATCTTGCAGTTTGTGAGTTGAAGCCCGCCTCAAGGCTCTGTGCTGACGGTGCAAAGCCTGCTTGGGGTTCTCCCTCTCTCCCTCTCCGTTTGCCCCTCCCCAGCTAGTGCTTTGTCTCTCTCTCTCAAGATAAATAAACTTCCTTATCAGTAGTTTCCTAGGCTCATTTATTTTATTTATTTTTTTTTCCCCTAGGCTCATTTAAAAACGTGGAGTCCTAAAATGTAAAATTTAGCGTTTACCCCACAAATGTTATTAAAACCCAAGACATTACTGTATCCGAGCATCCCTGAATTAAAATACAGGATCTAAAATTAAAAGTGGTTAGGGGTGCCTGGGTGGCCCAGTCGATTAATTGTCCAACTCTTGATTTTGGCTCAGGTCATGATCTCACGCTTTGTGAGTTTGATCCCCGCATCGGGCTCTTTCAACACAGAGCCCGCTTGGGATCGTATCTCCCAGTTTCTCTCTGGTGGACTCTCTCTCTGCCCCTCCCCCCACCCCAAAACAAATAAATAAATACACTTTTAAAAGAGGAGGGGCGCCTGGGTGGCTAAGTTGGTTAAGCGTCCAGCTTCGGCTCAGGTCATGATCTCAGGTTTCATGAATTTTGAGCAGTTTGTGAGTTCAAGCCCCACATCAGGCTCTGTGTTGACAGCTCAGAGCCCGGAGCCTGCTTTGGATTCTGTGTCTCCCTCTCTCTCTGCCCCACCTCCGCTTGTGCTCTCTCAGAACTGAATAAACGTTAAAAAAATTTTTTTTAATCTATTTATATATTTAGGGGCACCTGGGTGGCTCAGTTGGTGAGTGCCCGACTTCAGCTCAGGTCATGATCTCACAGTTCATGGCTTTGAGCCCTGGATCGGGGGCTCTGTGCTGACAGCTCAGAGCCTGGAGCCTGCTTTGGATTCTGTCTCCCTCTCTCTCTGCCCCTCCCCTGCTCGCTCATTTGCTCTCTCCCATTCTCTCTCTCTCTCTCTCTCTCTCTCTCTGAAAAATAAATGTTAAAAAATTTATATATACATATATAAAACTGGTTAAGCCACGTTAAACATCCAGAAGAAAACATTTATTCGTGTTTTCCGCTACAACATTTAATTCTACTCCTAGAGTTTCTGGAGTAGCCATTGGTGTAGAGAGAGAGTCTGGTGCGCCCTGGTTAGAGCAGGTCAGCCGACAGCAGCACTGGCGCCTTGGGCCTGTGTGGCCGAGCCGGCACGTTGCTGTGTCCCCGGGCACCTTGCACCAGAGGCGTTCTTTTCAAAGGTATTTTAACGGATTCTTTTGCAAGCTGACATTTGGGAAGAACGCAGAAGTTTCATTAATGAAGCTTGTTAATCTGAGTGAAAGGCACACGTTTTCTTTTAATCTTAGTCACTTACTTGAAAATAAGACTCTTTTCTGTTCTTTGTCTTTTGAGCAAGAATTTGTCAGAATGTTGACTTAACGTCATTCTCAAAGATACCATTTTATAGAAAATAAGGAAAGTCTGTAGTGCCATATTAGAATAATCGTAAATATTCCTTATAATTGTTAGTGTATGGACTTCTCTTTCTGTGAGGTGTGAAAGATGGGACCGGAAGATACGACAGCTTTGGATTCTCACCGTCCCAGCCGTCTGTGTATCCCTTGTGTGAGGGATCTTTTCGTTGCCCTGTTGGTACATCTGTAATTTGATTGTCATTTTTTAAGTTTCTCTCTTTTATGCCTTCTTCCCTCCCTCTGCTTCTTTCAGTGTGCCTTCAGAAACAGTGTTCGGATACAGTAGATATTTAACGATTTAAGAATTTCCTTAGCTGGCTCTATTCCGAATGCTTATTGTTTAAATCTTGATATGTCCCTCCATTTATGCACAAGTGAGTCAGAGTTGCAGCCGGAATATCTGGAAATGGTATAAACAAAATAGAAATTTCAGTTTACTGGGAAGTACTTAGATTTAAGTGACTCTTGTCAATTATGAAAATTAAATTCTTCCCTTCCCAGAGAAGAGAGTTGTTAGTCATGCCTCTGATTTTTTTAAAAACCAAGCGGAGATCTGGTACAAGTGCTGTTGTACAGCAGGGGGGATGCTTTCTGTCACGGCCCCTTGTTTTAGGCTGCGTGACCCAGAGATTTCAGTCTCCTGAGGCGTTGGGGAGACTCACTGGACGTTGGGCTGAGCAGGAGAGAACGTGACAAATGGGAAGAGTCCTCGTGGCACTTTTGGAACTTTTCTCTATTATTTGGTCCAAGCTGCACTTCAGCCTGCACCCATCCTTCCAGTGCTGTAACTGGCTAATTTTAATTTGGTTGTTTACGTATTATGTTTCGTGTCCACTGTTGGATGCGAACTAGACATCAATCACCCTAAATATCACTGTAAAGTCAAGTGCTTGACTAGAAAGCGTAATGAAACTTCTAGACCTTCTAACTTAATATGATCAAGGGGCAAATGATGTCGTGTGGGAAGGAAAGAATTTCAACATCTTGGCTTTTGTTGTTATACTGAGTCTGCCCGTGGTGTCACAATCTTCTCGAGTGTCACAGCGTTCGTTTTAAGGACTTCTGCGACAACTACTATTGTAAGTCTGTTTAGAAATGACAAGTACAAATTATTCAAATAGTTTTTTATTGTTGTTGTTTGTTTTTGCATTTATATAGCGCCTTTCCTTCGAGGAGCTCAAGGCATTTTTCAAAATCTGACAGTTTTCCTCACAACAACCCTGTGAGGTAGGTAGAGTGCATTACAAACAATAATAAGATACGAACTAACCTGTTTCGGCCTTTATGATGTTCTCTTATGTTACGTAATTGGAGGTGTCAGCATAAACACGACTTTTAGAACGTTTTGCAAACCTTTTCAAATAGTTTGGTCTTAGTAACAGCTGTATTTAAAGAACCACTTGTACTCCATAACAGGGTAACTTTGTAAGAGAAAGCATTCATCAAAAGATCAGGAGTCACTCCCTGGGATTAGCTGAGCACTGCCGGTAGGACTCAGCCGGGGGTGTCTCTGGTGGTGGTTGACTCTCAGGTCAAGAAGGAGCCAACCAAGAGCTGTGGTTCTAGCATGATTCCTCGGCACCTGCCAACTGTCCGTGTGCAGTCAAACTTTCTGAGAGGGGGAAATGTGTTCACGATGTTGCCTCGCGGTCTTCTTATTTTATATCTTAAATGTTTGAGCGTTTTCTCTCTCTTCCTCTCTCCTTCCCTTGCTCCCTTTTTTCTGTCCCCCTCCTCTTCCCCTCCCTCCAGTCAGCTCTTGGTTGTACTTGCTCATGGAAGGGCACAGTAGCACAGCTCACACACATCTGCAGCTTTTCCTTCCCTGGTCACTTGGGTTTGGAAACAGAAAAACCAAATAGCAAGAAAACCTGGGAAGTCAGTCTCTGGAAAGAGTGGGGAACAGGTGTGTGGGAGTGTGAATTCATGTTTCTTTCTGCCCTTTGTGATAAAAATGATTTAAATGACATATTTTTGTATTTCTTGTACCAGCCATTGATCCAGAGGTACAGGAGGAGAGAAATAAATGTTTGGTTTATTCAAAGTTGTCAAGTTGGTATGAAGAGGGGGAGGACGGACGGACTGATTGGGAAATGCCAAACACCTGTCTCTTGCCTCCCCTGCCATGCCATTTGCTGTCCCCCGTCCCCCGTCCCCCAGATACTAAATTCAAAAGTATATATATTTGTGTCCGGCCCTTTCACTGTCTCTCCGGCTGGGCTCCGTGCTGTGCTCTGTGGCGAACGAAGTCAAATCCTATTCTGATCGTGAAACGCCACCGGGGGGCCCCTGGAGCTCCCGTGAGCGAGTTGGACTGGGTAACGGTAGTCCCTCTGTTAACGGCCCTCACTGGACCTGGTTTTTCTCATTTATGGAACCAGAGGGTTGCTTTAGAGAACCTAAATTCCCCTTTAGCTTTGAGAACCGTGGCGTGAGTGAGGATAGCTTTGTACAGTTCGTATGGGAGGTCTAGAATGACCGTGGTTCAGGAGGGGACCGAGGGAATTTCCCTACTCCGTAATACGGACCCAGGTCATTGCTTTCAAGGGTCTTGAGTGCCTTTTGCTCTGGCCCTGTTAGTTGTAAGAGTCTTATGTGATTAAGTAATTTTTATCTTCCTGTGGTATCTGTCATGATGGGATTGACTTGAACTGTCAGCCAGGGGATTTGGATGTACTTCTGTAGGATTCTCAAAAACGACTGTCTCGTCCCCTTCCTGTCTGCACCCAGAACCATCTCCTCCTCCTTTGCCTCAGTGTCATTTCACGCCTTCTAGCAGCCAACCGAGACAGAAAGTTTGACAGTAAATTACATTTTAAGTGAAATGGAGGTTCTTGCTGGTGAGTAGCACGAGGGACGGTTTTGGGGGTTTTGTTTGTGTTTGAGGCAATAGAACGCAGGAGAGCAGAAACGAAAGTCAGCACAGGGAACCTAGAAGGCAGACCATTAGGCGGTCAAGAGTTGGTTCCTCTGTGTTGGTTTCAGCATATAGATGGTTTGGCATCATGAACAAAACTAAGGCTAGCTAGCAGGCAGTTTCAGATAGGGAGGGACATGCCTCAGGAAGTGGAGGGCACACAGAAAGCCCGTCAGGAGGAGCCAGTGTCCGTTCCAGGTCCGTAACCTGTTTTTCTGACAGGTGCTTAGGAGCTTTAGGTGAATTTAGCCCTGACTTCGGTTTGCTCTCGAATGCATCGAGCCATGTGATTATTTGAGAACAGAGTGTCCCCGTTGGTCAGTTCCACGGGAAACCCGGAGATCGCTGGGCCCTTCCGGGGTCTTGTAGCCTGGCCGCTTGACACGCTGGACTGCTCGTCGCACTCTGAGTGAGCTGCTGCTTTTCTGCTTCCCGCCGTGTCGCGTTCTGTGTTGCCTGCAGGGGTGTGCCTCAGCCGGCAGCTGCTTGCTCGTCTGGTCTGTCCTGCATGCGCACGTGACCCCCTAGTGCAGGGCTGCAGCCAGACGGACTTAGGTTTTCTGAGGAACCCAGTCTGGAGAAGACCGCTTGTGGCCACAGGTACCTCGTAGAGTAGTCGACCTGCGTGGGAGTATGGGTGCTCCCACAGTTCTGCGGGTGATTTTTAGATCATTTTAGTGGTGGTTCTCCGACAGCCTGGTTAAAGACCTTCAGAGTTGTTCGAAGGACTTGCACTCGTCTGCCCGTGAGGGCGGGCTGGTGTGCTCATTGGTCGAAATGGAAAGTAATACAGGGCATTGCCCATTTGTCCATTTCATTGTCCGTTTGTCCAGTTGTCCATTTGCTGTCTCCGGGATGGGTTCGAAGTCTTCCTGATAGTCCTGCTTACCAGCTGTGAGAAGCTTTACTGAAACAGGAGCCCGCGGGTAGTTCGTTCTCCAAGGCGTCGGCCTGCTTTCCTAGCTCCGGAAGTCCTCTAGGGGTCCTGTCCAGTAAACAGTATTTTACCCATTCAGGATCTCACGTCTTCCCTCTTCTTTGTTCTAGCACTTTCCCTCACTGTTGCCGGCCAGCTGACTCCCTTGTTCATCTCTTTGAACCCAGCCTCCTTACGATCCTCTGTGTAGGCTCCCTCTCACTTTGCCGTCCTTCTTTGGATTCTTTCCTGCCTATGGTAGTATTCTGCTTTTCCTTTAGAAGGCTGAAATCACAGCATTCCTCATTGTCAACTCCACATCGTTGTCAACTCCAAAACCCCTTCACAAACAGATCTTACACTTCAGCGAGAGTTTCTGTACTCTAAAGTGCTGTCGCGTGTCGTTTGTATCCTGCTAACTTGCATTAGCATAGCGACGCCTTGCTTAGCTGTTGGATGCATACATGTGTCTTCTAGTCCCACTGGAGTCTCCGTTCCAGAACAGCGGTCAGGTCTTCTCTCTCCTGTTTTTCACCACAGCACCTGCGCACGCAGCACCTAGTAAGGAATCCTTGGTGAGAGACTGTGGCTTGAAATTTCACTGAAATGTTACGAATACGTTTGTGATAGCTCACCTAGAAAAAGACTACTTCTGCTTCCTGTGCTGGAGTTTGGGCCAGATCTTCCTGCGATTTTAGAGTTCTCAAGTTTATGAGATGTGCAGTTTGTAAATGTTGGAGTAAGGTGTAGTTCAAATATATTTTCTTCTCAGCCACTAATAGTTTTTTCTTAACACCTTATCTGAATAGCAGTCTACTCCTTTTGTTGTTGGCAGATTTAAAAACAACAACGACAAAAAACTTTATTTGGGAAAATAAGCCAAAGGCAATTGACATGAGAAGACATTTTGAAATTAAGGTCCAAGTACCTTTGTCATAGAACATGTTTTACTGGGAACACAACTTTAGAAAAAGGGCTTTACCAGCGTAAGCCTTTCTTGGACCATGATCGCATCGTGTGTGACTCTTGCTAGCAGTACAGCGTTCCGAAGGCATTTTGGCTGGTTTTGTTACGGAAGCCTTTCAGCTTCGACATCACCAGTTCAGCAACGCCACCATTAGAGTTGGGTTTTTGCCCTTCTTGTTTTCTGAGTGCACCTCTCAAAGATGAATTTGACATGGCTATTAGGGCATCAGGGTGTATTTCAGGACCTCTTGGGGTACTCGATTTGGGGGGGTTCTAACTGCGCACATGGGGAATGTTCTGTTTATGGCGTGATTTTGTTTGCTTCATCCTCCCGAAGCTCATTGCCTTGCGCTCTTCTGACTCGGTTGTGCATGCTCTGGAAAAGTGCTTGTCGTTCTGACTCTCAACCAGACCAGCTCTGTTGTAGATCTTTTTGTACCATCCAGATTTACAGGACTAGTGTGAGCCTGAGGCAGACAGCTTCGTTTGAGTCGTCTGGTCATTTCTCAGTTAACGAGGTAACAGTGAAAGAAAGAAAAAAAAAATCAAAAGACAGTTGGAAGAAAGAGAAGTTCTGTCTCCTGGTGATCGCTGTTACTTGTGCAGTAATGATTTATCAGGATCGCTGGTTATTCTCTTTTATTAGGTCTGGCTGTTTTCAGGTTATTTCTTGCCTCACGATTTCTCTACAGTGGCCCAGGGATGGCGGATAACTAAAGCGAATGTTTTGATTTCGTTCAGATTTCGGCCTATTAAGGGAAGGCAAGAAGAACTAAAGGAAGTCATTGAACGTTTTAAGAAAGATGAACACTTGGAGAAAGCCTTCAAATGTTTGACTTCGGGCGAATGGGCACGGCACTATTTTCTCAACAAGAACAAAATGCAGGAGAAATTATTCAAGGAACATGTAGGTTTATTGATAAGATTACTACTATTTATCTGTGTGGGTAAGAGCAGAGTAAACTAAAACTTAAGTTTTAGTGAACGCTGAAACTTTTAAGTCAGTTTTTCATAAAGCTGATCAATGTGAAGATCTAATAACACATCAGATCATTTGTATAACTCTCCAAAGAGACAACTTGGTCATCTGGAAGTGAAATTCTCCACGAACTTTCAGAGGAACATGGCCAAGCCGTCAGGTGCTCAGATACGTGAAGTTGTAAAATCACAGAGTTTGTTACTTAACGATCCTAAATGCTTCACATTTCGGTGATGATTTGCTTTTGGATTCTGCATAAGTCTAACGGGATAAACAATTTAATACAAATACCATTATCTTCTTCTGTTTTAGGTATTTATTTACTTGCGAATGTTTGCAACTGACAGTGGATTTGAAATACTGCCCTGTAATAGATACTCATCAGAACAAAATGGAGCCAAAATAGTTGCAACAAAAGAGTGGTAACTATTACACTAGTATAAACCCGTAACATACTGTCAGTTAAAGTTCTCTCTCAAGTTAACCGTTGAAGTGCTAAGAAAGTTGTGGGAAGGAGTGAAGCCAGAGCCTTGGCCCAGTGACCTGGGTCAGGACAGTGGAATTAGAAATCTGAGTTGAACCAGATCCCGTCTCTCAGCCCGCGCACTTTGACCGAGTTGGAACGCTGCTCGGTGGTGAGGCCGCCGAAGAAGTCCAGGTGCCGGGGCTGGAGAACCTGGCTTCCGTGTCCCGGAAGGCCTGCTCTAGGCCCTCCGTGTCCTGCTGGCCTAGAGAAAGGTCTTAACGATCCTAGGAACTTCACAGGTGGAAATGTCCCGCCGAATTGCCTGCTTAAGTGTACACGTGTACATGTATGTGCCAACTTGAGTAAGGGTAGTAAAGTTGAGGCCAGCTAGGAAGGGTAAAAGCCATTCATGAGAGAATGTGTGATCATTTTTTTCCTCTAACACCCGTTCCTACCTCACCTCCCAGAAGAAGGAACGTGTTGCCCTTCTTATAAGCTGTCCCCACGTATTTTTTATAACAAAAACATTAGGATCAGGTACCTGAAAATGGAATGGGCGAAGAGCAGTATACCCAGGCCTCTCGGGTGGGTGCGTGTGTGCGTGCGCGAGCGCCATCAGTTTGGACAGGTGCACGTACGCGAGCACACATCATAGTGTATTGAGTCCGCTGGTCCACTCCCCTAGCTCCCGGTGCTTTCGGTGGACGTGTAGCTTTCTGGTCTTGTAGTCTAGAGCCGCACCGTCCAGCACGGCAGCCACCAGCCACTTGTGCCTCTTGGGCCCTTGAACGGTGGCTAGTCTGTACTGAGAAGTACCGTAAATGTGATTTACGTGCCAAGTTTTATGGTAAAATGTGTTTCCCGTTAATGTTTCTTCTACTGATTACCTGCTGAAATAGTAGCGGGGGCCTCTCGGGTTCAAAGACATTACTTAAAGTAATTTCACTTGTTTTTTCTTTACTTTCTGATTGTCCTTACTAGAACGCTGCAGACCCCACGTTTGGCTTCCGTTACGTTTTTCTTGGATAGCGCTGTTCTGGAGGGTGGTGTCCTCATTCCGGGTCCCCGTGACCTTTACTACTACTGCTTGTCTCTGTCTCCTCCGTCCACTCTCAGCAAGTTGCATTTGGTGTAGCAGATATTTGAATCCTCCCTGCCTGCAACACGCTGTACTAGGGGCCGTAGGGGACTTGGAGACGAGGTAGCACGGCTTCTGGCCTGGAGCACCTCCCGGTCTCTCGTAGGGCTAAGGCAGCTGTAGGGTGGCTGTGGCCCGAGGCCGTCGGCCTTCCAGGGAGGATGAGAGCGTAGCCCAGTGAAGGTCCCAGGGGGTCAGCCGAGATGCACACAGCTAGGTCTTCTGGATTCCCGGTATTTATTGGACAGGCTTATTTTATTAAGAGAAGCCTTGTAATTTATAATTACTAGTAATTTTTAACATGACATATTTTAAATAGGAAACGAAATGACAAAATAGAATTACTGGTGGGTTGTATTGCCGAACTTTCAGAAATTGAGGAGAACATGCTGCTTAGACATGGAGAAAACGACTTCAGTGTCATGTATTCCACAAGGAAAAACTGTGCCCAGCTCTGGCTTGGTCCCGCCGCCTTTATAAACCACGGTAAGCTGCGCTCCTCGGGTGGCCGTGCGAGTGGCGGGCAGTACTGCTAAGACGCAGCAATGACCTTGTCAGACTGCGTGGAACCTCGTCTCCCTGTAGAGGAGGCTGGAAATAGGACTTCCTTATTTTTCCCCACCAGCGTATTAAACAAACGATCCTGTCGCTTAACCTGAGACCTAAACTTCTATCAAAAGTTGTGAAATGATGTGGAAAGCTTATTTCAGATTTCTGTAATTGTTCGTGTTTCAGATCTTATCTACAGTTAATTGACTTTATCTTTTGGACATTTTTCAGATTGCAGACCTAACTGTAAGGTAAGCATAAACTTCTTTTTACTGCAAGTATTTTGTTTCTGCTGCAGGTATGAGTTTCTTAATGAGTTCATTGTATTTCAGTTTGTGTCAACTGGTCGAGATACGGCGTGTGTGAAGGCTCTGAGAGACATTGAACCTGGAGAAGAGATTTCTTGTTATTACGGAGACGGGTTCTTTGGAGAAAATAACGAGTTCTGCGAGTGTTATACTTGTGAAAGGTATGCGTCAAGTGAAGTGTCCAGCTTGTGTGTTCTTGTAACCGCCTGATGATTATGGGCACCAACTAACGTTGCTTCCTTCTCCTTTAGACACGGTGTGGGGGGGGGCGGGGTGTAGTCTCTTACGTTCTGTAGCTTTGGTCCGATAAAATGTGCATGAACCGTCGGGGGATACACAGCTCTTTGGGGGCCGTGGCACCTGAGCCTTTAGAGTTTTCTTATCACCAGCTGCTGCTTCTGAGTAGATCAGAGTACCAGCGTGCCTAAAGAGAGGACGGGAAATACCGTACGCGTGTGTGCACGTGCCTATCCGCGCGTGTGCACACGGACACCCACAGTGCCAGAGTGGGGTTGCCCAAAGAATGGCAAGTGACATTCACTTCTGATGATCATGTGAAAACACTGAAGTTGTCCTGTGTCTTACCAAGCTGTGGCTTCTGGATTTTTTTTTTTTTAATTTTTTTTTTTTTTTTTAACGTTTATTTATTTTTGAGACAGAGACACAGCATGAACGGGGGAGGGGCAGAGAGAGAGGGAAACACAGAATCAGAAGCAGGCTCCAGGCTCTGAGCCATCAGCCCAGAGCTCGACGCGGGGCTCGAACTCACGGACCGCGAGATCATGACCTGAGCCGAAGTCGGACGCTTAACCGACTGAGCCACCCAGGCGCCCCCTTTTTTTTTTTTTAAGTTTATTTTTGAGAGAGAGTGCACGCATGTGAGCGAGGGGCAGAGAGAGAGGGAGAGAGAAACCCAAGCAGGCTCTGCATGGACAGGGCAGAGCCCAACACGGGGCTCGATCTCAAACCACTAGACAGTGACCTGAGCCAACATCGAGGGTCAGATGCTTGGCCTACTGAGCCACCCAGGTGGCCCAGGATTTTTTTTTTTTATTTGAACATAGTTGACACACAAGGTTACATTAGCTTCAGCTGTACAGTTCAGGGATTCAGCATCTCTGTACATCATGCTGTCCTCACCACAGGAATTTCTACATTTTGATGCACGTACTCTTCAAGATTCCTCAATTCTGTCTCTGAATAAGGAAGCTCCTCTTGTGACCCATCAAGATTCTGGAGTCCTTGTAGAAATCCCCCAAATCTGACTTAGCCAGACTGCTAGCTCACACTACTCATTGGAGTGATTTCTGCATCCAGGAGCTCGTGGAGGTGACGTCACACGCTTGTCTTGCTAGTCCTGCAGGAAAGCTGCTGTTCCCAGGCAGTGCAGACTTGCATGGGTCACCCAGGGGAGCCGACCTGGACTTGTTGAACCCATTTTTCTTTTTTTAAGTTTGTTTATTTTGAGAGAGAGAGAGCACGAGCATGAGAGGGAGAGGGGCAGAGAGAGAATGGGTGAGAGAAACCCAGGTGGGCTTTCCACCATCAGCTCAGAGCTCAGGGTGGGGCTCGAACTCACAAACTGTAAGATCATGACCCAAGGCGAAGAAACCAAGAGCTGGCCTTTTAACTCACTGAGCCGCCCGTGCTCCCCGAGCTCAGTTTTCTCATCTTGTACTGAGCTGGGCACTTTGCTAACTCTGACTCATTCAGTCTCCACAGCCATCTGTGAGAGAGAGAGTGAATAGAAGTACGTCCACGCTGCAAGTACAGAAACTGAAGTGTCTGAGCCCAGGGCAGCTGAACCTTGGCCCTCCTTCTTGCCACTTTGTGCCGCTCTTGCAGGTGGGGGGAGGGCTGTCCAGTAGCACCGCTGCTCCCGCTGAAGTCACCCAGCCGCTGGCCAGCCTGCGGAGGGACTGTGAACGCCCCAGAGGTCCCACTTCCCTTCTTCCCAAGTAGTGGGAAGTGTCCCCCTCTGTCAGGCGAGAGCAGGAGCCTGGAGGCCTGTGCTGCCCCAGCTGTTTCTCTCCCATCGTCGGGGTCCTCGCCATAAGGAACGGCAGGAAACCTGTTCCTGATGCTGCTGAGGTTTTGCCCCCCCCCCCCCCGCTTTGGGAGGGGCAGTAAAAAAATCCTTCATTTTCTACGTAAAAAATGGTTTGAACATTGGTTAAATCTTAGACCAGTCCAGAAAAAGACCTTTAATCCACAAAATAATTTAATTATACTTGAACGATGCTTCAGACTCATTATCTCGAGACAACATAGGGTAGCGGTCAAGTGCCTGAGGTCTGGAGCCTCCCGGAGTTGAAATCCTGTGACTGCACGTCATTAGCTATGTGATCTTGGGACACTTTAACTGCTTTTTGTGCCTGAATTACCCATCTGTAAAACGGAGAGAATGTTAGCAGCGGTCTCACAGGGTCGCTGTGGGAATTACATTGGTTACTTCACGTGATGTGTGTAGAACGCACAGTTAACACTCAGGCCTTATCTATAAAATTATTTTGTGGCTTCTGGTTATTTGCCCTTTAGAATATAAGCTCCATGGAGGCTTTTATCTTTTCCACTCATACCCAGCACCCGGAACACTACTTGGCACATAGTAGGTCCCTGGCGAATGAATGAACAGATGAATGAATGGACATACAGTATGCCAAGTAAGCTTTTGGAGGCTGTCCTGAGAAGGGTGACCACCTACTCGGGATTCCGAACCAAGCCTGAAACAGCTGTGTGACTAGTCTAGAATTTCATGTATCATCATGTTCCTCAGGCAGATTAGTTCTCCTCTGTGAGCCTCAGTTTCTTCTTACTGGTCAGGTGGGGGTGATCCTGCCTACTCCACAGGGTTATTAGTATGAGGAATAGACACATGAGCAGATCCTTTTTTTATTTTATTTTATTTTATTTTTTTAATTTTTTTTCAACGTTTATTTTTGGGACAGAGAGAGACAGAGCATGAATGGGGGAGGGGCAGAGAGAGAGGGAGACACAGAATCGGAAACAGGCTCCAGGCTCTGAGCCATCAGCCCAGAGCCCGACGCGGGGCTCGAACTCACGGACCGTGAGATCGTGACCTGGCTGAAGTCGGACGCTTAACCGACTGCGCCACCCAGGCGCCCCGCAGATCCTTTTTTTAAAGGAAAGGCTTGACATTAAACAGCCATAGCTACCTTCAGACCATTTGAGCAGTCTGATTGAAAGTTGATTGCAGCTATTCTTGGGAGTTCTCAGGAACACCAAAGAGGGTAAGACTGGTCAAGAGGACTCACTCAGCTCTTCCTCAGGTATCAGCTGAGGAGCTAACTCCTGTTAGGTCTCGTGCGTGCAGGGTGAACCAGGCTGGCACAGTGCCAGCCGGGAGCTGCAGGACGTCACAGAGCCGGCTCTGTGAAGAAACGGTGAGCAGAAGGTTTCTGGAGGTTCCGAGATGATGGGTGAAATCTCCTGGATGCGTTTGATGCGTATTTCTAGCGCTGACCATCCTGACACAATAGTGATTGTTCTGCATTCTTAAGTACTGCTAATTTTACGGTAGAACACTTGAGCAGTAAAGTCTAATGAATGACCCCAAAATAGGAAGGATTAGATTATTTTTAAGCTTATATGAAAATACATCTGATGAAGTTAAGAAAAAATGTCTGAAGTGTAGCTTGAGATTTGTTTTAACACATACTAAAAGTTAGGAGGAAACAGTTGTGACCAACACTCGATCGTGGCCCAGAAATGGACAAATGGGTGATGGGATATGAATGGAGGCCTGAGATAGAGGCAACTGTGTATGAGATCTCAACATCGCATGTGGAGAAACGATTTCTATCACAAATGATGTTAGTATAATTCATTATGCATCTGGAAGAGAAGCCAAATTCAAGGTGGATTAAAGATTTAAATTTTAAAATACAATGCAAAATGATTAGAAAAAATCGAGGAGGCTTTCTGTCTAATGTTGGAGTAGTGGAAATGTTGTGTGTAAAAGAAGACAAGAAATGGTGAATACGAACAACGTTTGGTCAAAATCAAAGTCAAATGATGAACCAGAGAGGCAACGGCACCCATCTGGCAAAGCGTTAATAATCCTAATAAGAAAAAGCTCCTAGAAGCTCACAAGGAAGAGACAGACTCCGAGAGGAGGGCAGGGTAAGGAGGATGCCACACAGGAAACGAGGGCCGTAAAGCAGACGATGGAGACAGGAACCAGGGATTCATTGTCACGGTCAGAGCGGCGGAATTTCAGAGTTGTACCTTACAGTGCTGGTGAGGATGTGGAGAAACGAGCCCTCGTACACTGTTAGCAGGCATGACGTGAATTGTCTGGCCGTGGTTGTTAAAAATAAGCGCGCCCTTTTAGCTAGCAGTCAGTCCCGGGCGGAAGAATCTAGCCTGTGGGAATAGCACTAGTTAGTAAGGATTTGGTTTCAGAGCAGTGTAGCAGTTAGTGTCCGTGGTGGCCAGCAAACCCAAAGACGCCCTGCAAGTTCCAGGAACCAGCAACGACGAGTGATCGAATCCGTCACGGATTGTTTCTTCAGTGGAGAAAGTACACTCTTCAGAACACACACGTTCAGTTGAGATTTATCCGTCCGTTGTGTAACGGCAAAGCCGACTGCCGAGTAAGATGGATGGTGTGCTCCTCTTTTGGTTTTGTTTGCTTAAAAAGATCCAACGGTGTAAACCGGTGTGCGAGACCGTGGCGGAGGATAGCACACTGGCAGACGGTCCCCCACCGGTGCCTCGGGGCCCCGGGGGTGCGGGCTGGCTGGCTGGCTGCCAACTTGTGCTTCGTGGATTTAGGTCCTAGCATCATTCTGCGTGTCACGGCAGCAGGAGCAGGTCTTTCTTCCTTAGGAAGAAAACGTCAGGGAAGTAGACAGCAGGGGAATGGTCGAGTTGTAACGAAAACAAAAAACAAACAACAAAAACAACTCCCTGATTTCCAGATAAAATAATTCCACCGTGATCATTTGTGGTGAAGTGTACTTTAAATATGGCCCATTTTTCTAGGAAGGAACCAAAAATGTTACAAGTTGTGGGGAAAAGGCATGAAATGTCTGAAAATAATGCATTACTCCCTTAATCCCTATGAAATGAAATCGCCTTTGACATTTCCTATTTTCCGTTCTGCACATACTTAAGTGTGGAGTGGAGGGGAACTGCTTGCCTGCCTTGGCGACGATCACCTACAGGTTTTAGCGCAATTTCTCCTGTACCTTCCAAAAACAGCACTGAGGCAGCCACACGATAAGCTTGTCGTGATCTTCACAGAAGTGTTAATGAAAATGGAATCCCAGATGTGTTCTAGAAAGGTGAAACAAGCAAGAATGCTTACCTTGCTTGCCGGAAGTCGTTTTGGCAGTAGGTTTAGGTGTGTGCCCCCTGGCGATGAGACGTAGGACGGCAGGGAGGGACCCTGTAGGCGCCAGCATCTCTCCCAGGCTGGAGGGTGCCCACAGTTGCGCGGCGAGTTCAGAAACCGCGTTGGTTATACGGCTTTTCTTCAACAAGCTGAGGGCAGGCAGTGAGGCAACTCCGGGAAGGCAGTTTCGGCCCAAACAAATTTCTCATTTTTTGCATGTGATGTGTAGCGCTTTTTTATAACCTCATTAACTTATTCTTCTGAATAGAGCTGAGTAGAAATGTACCATTACACACCGAGTCAAGTTAACATCTGCAAAGCTAGGCTAATTGAGAATGATCAGAGCCTCTGCGAGCACCTTCACTTCAGAAGAACTTACATAAAAACATAAATTATTATTAGAGTGGACTACAGATCCTTCTTGCCCCATGGTAAAAGCAAGTTTTCTGACGTCTTGTATTTAGTCATATTTTGTTAATTGTGGTTATCTCAATAACTTGAAAGAAATTAAACAGTTTTTATTCTCCCACAAGTCAGATTTTTCACTGATACAGTGTAGCCACCTTATATGGGATGCCAGTTAAGGTTTCTTTGTATCTAATGTTGAATTCTTAAGTGATGGCTTAATTTATGGAAATTCTCTGGTTTCTTTTTTTAATCCCTTAATTCTTTTTTTTTTTTTTTTTTTTTTTTTTATTTTTTAAAAAACAAGAGCCCAACCCGGGGGGGGGGGGGGGGGGGGGGGGGGCACACAGAATCCGAAGCAGGCTCCAGGCTCTGACCTGTCAGCACAGAGCCCGACGCGGGGCTCGAACTCACGACCCGCGAGATCAGGACCTGAGCCGAAGTCGGATGCTCAACCAGGCACCCCTAATCCCTTAATTCTTGATGTCAGTGTTGTAGTGTTAAATTGTGTAGAACAGAGCTAGAATCTAATTAACAGGTGGGTTACTTAAGCCACAACGCAGACCTGACTATTGCACTAACCAGTTTTGAAATTGACGAATTAGTTCTTTTCACCTGTGCGTGGACTTCTACGGGGCCTGGTGGTTTCTCATGGGCAGTTAGTAATGAATTGACAGTAGTCCAACAATTTGTTACTTTACGTCTAGAGGGTTTTTTGTGTTAATTTTATATACAGTTTTAATTCTTCCTCGAGTCCTAGACCGGGTACATTTCCAGTGATGACTGAGGCCTCATCAGTGCACCACAACTGTTGACTTGATGTGGCCTTGAGCCCTCAGCAGCTGAACTTGCTGTCAGTACGCTGTTTAACCTGTGCTGTTTTCTCTTTCAGACGGGGAACCGGTGCTTTTAAATCCAGAGCGGGACTGCCTGCACCTGCTCCTGTTATCAATAGCAAATACGGACTCAGAGAGACAGATAAACGCTTAAATAGGCTTAAAAAGTTAGGTGACAGCAGCAAAAACTCAGACAGTCAATCTGTCAGCTCTAACACTGATGCAGATACCACTCAGGAAAAAAACAATGCAAGTAAGTAAGGGAGATTTGATAAGCATATATCTTCGTTTTTCTTTTTTTCTTTTTTTAAGTATTTTCACACAATTATCTTTCTAAAGTGTGCTTCACTTCAGTAGTTTTGATCTTTTAAGTCTTGAGAGAAACCCTGGGACTCGTGTGCTTCAGCAGCACTGCAAGGTTCTAGACATGATCTGAGCACAAAAGCAGTCCGTGTCCCACCTCCAGATTCAGTCCTGTGCCCTCGACTGAACTGTCTGCTTTTCTTGAATACCTGGTAACTGGATATTACATTCTTCATCATGTGTTCCAGGGTCGTCCTGTGTTTGAGAGACACATTTTCAAGGTGTTAGTTTGACTGTCATGATGGCATTAGGTCCTACGGGAAGACGGAGGACTGGGTAGAGGCGTAGAAGCGCACATGCGTCCCCGTGCCAAGCCCCGGTCCGTTAGCACCCATGACGCGAACTTGGGCAGTTCGTAGCTTCTGGCCTCGAGGCCTCCACCTTTTTACTGCTTGCTTGCCCTTTTCAAAATGAACTGAACCAATTCACCAAACCGCCAGTTCCCAGACTCCGAATTGGGAGAGAGGAGCGTTTCGAAGGTTGCTATACTAGGACATGTGTTAGCCACTACTGAAAACAGCGAGAGAGGTGAGAAGAAGCAGCAAGCCTTAAGATGCCAGTTGTACGAGGGGGCAAGACCATATGCAGACTGGAGAGAGAACGGAGAATAAAGAAAAGAAAGCGAAGAAAGCCGAGCCGGGCAAAAAGGAAACGCGTCGTGTCTGTGGAGCTTTGAAGTCCTGGAACCAGTTTCATGGCTGCCGGTTTCCTCTGGGTAACACCGGTTTCCTCTCCTTGCCGCTAAAGCTGTAGGCTCGTTAGTCCGCTGGTTTCTGACAGGAACAAAGTCTCAAAGTTTTGACTCCGTGATCCCTAGGGACGCCCCTTTCGGCGCGCCGAGTATCCACGGCTACTTGGTAGTGCCTCCGTGCCTCCTTAAGTCTGGCTGTGCTGGGCTCCTCTCCCCGTCTTCGGATGTTTTCAGCCCAGCACAGGTGCACCCCTTCCCTGCAGAAAACCCTGGAGCAAAGGGACGGCAGCTCCCACGATGGTGAATGCCACTGCCGCGAACCCTGCACCTGCCTGCCGCCGGGGCCGGGTGTAAGCCCAGTAGTGGAAGGGCAGTGATGCGTTCCCACTCCAGCCCTTACCGTCCCAGGTGAACAGAGAGAGAGCAAGCAGTTAGCCCGTCATTCACTGTTGACTGTTGGTTCTAACAATAAATGGAACATAACCACTGTTTTGTTTTTGGAGTCTGGTTCCTTGGTGAAACTGGAGACTTGTGAAGCCCGGTTTAGAAATTCGTGCGTGAAACACTAAAGAGCACGGCCACGGCCACCACGCTGCCCACAGCGAATGGCTCTGTGACACGGGGGGCGTTAGCTCTATGCCGACTGGGTACATACTGAACCCGGTACACCACAGAGTCTAAAAGAGCGTAAGATAGACAGCATCTGGAAGTGTACTGACTATGTGACCAGCTAGGGAATATTTATTAGTAAACCAAATACTTCTTAAGCCCGCTAGTTGTTGAAGAGATACGGAGATGTGTGGGACTTGGGCCCTCCGTCAGGGAGCTTACGCCTTAGCTCCGGGATACGACGGATACACAGGTAGTTACGTAGAACCCTCTAGAAATGCCATGGCTCGAGTTCAGAGCGAACAAGTAACCCCTTTGAGCTGTGGTCCCAGCATTACCGAGTAGAAATGCGTTACTTCCCAGTGACTGCTTGCAGAGGGGGCTGACTTGGTTCAAATTCCCTTTCTGCAGAACGATGGTTTCGAGTACTTGGAGGGTCGAGGTAGCTAACTTTGAGGGCCGTGTGTTAGCGTTGACAGGCGTGGCTCCGTGCTCTGGAGGAGCCAGAGGCTTAGCACCGGTCACCCCTGAGGCCACCCCACATGAGGATACATTCACAGCAGTATTCCTGCAAGCCCCCCCAGGTATTCTCTCAGATGGTATTTCTTTTGGTGTTTGTGTCTCGACCATCATCCCCCCCACCCCTTGAAAGAAAGACTTTCTGAAATGACAGCTGGCGGCAAAGCCCAAGCTGCCCAAGCCTCTCCCAGAGGAGGCGGGTGTAATTGCCACGTGTGGACGCAGGGGGCCCTCTCTGTGTGCGGCTGCCAGTCTTCCCTGCAGTCTGCTGAGAACTCAGGGGGCACAGAACTGCTTGCTTGGAACAGCTTGTGTATTCTTTTTAAAGAAGCATTTCTGCCTAGTCGGGAGAAAAATTACAATCTTCTGTGCACTGTCTTTTGAAAGGTGTCTCGAGAGCCACGAGTTGACTGTTGGCTTTAGCGTCTGGAGACAGGAAACAGCAACATCCACTTTCACAAAAATTCGGTCCACAAGCCTGAATGATAACGCCATTGTTAGAAGATTCTGGTTTTTTAGGCCTCTCGTGCCTCCGTGGCTAGGCCACCCCCCCCCCCGCCCCCGTAGTGCTATGAAAGGGGATGTGAGTCCTGTCACAAGTTGGGGTGAGGCCCAGAAGACAAGGCCAGTGCCATAAGCTTATCCTAACTCCGGAGCACCTGTCCTAGAGATGGTGGACCGGGCCCTGCTCTAACTCAGCTGGCACGGACATCGCTGCTGGTCTGAACGCTCTTTGCCGCTAAGCCTGTGGGCTCCTTCGGAGGCCCTTCCGACACCCTGTTCCGGGCAGCCACGCCAGTCTGTGTCGGTCGTGTGAGGTTGGAAGATGCCTGTGCTTCCAAAGGTTGGAAGATGCCTGACAAACCGGAACGGAAGCCTTTAAAGTCTTACTGAGGGTTTTCTGGATCTTCAAGTGCTGAAGATGCCAGGCTGCGGATGGCCCTCGGTTCACGCTCGTCTCGGGGGCTTTTCCAGTACAGGGCACGGCCCGGGCGCGCGGAAAGCTCTGGTGTCGTCTTGCCGTTCTCGTGTCTGGCTGTAATTCTTGACGCCCACGCAGGGCTACCTTACGATTTGGAGGACCCCCCCGGAATGGCTGTGACGACCGTTACCCGGGAGTTGGGGCTGGCACCGTGACCCTGTGGTGCGCCTCAAGGCCGCACCGATAACGGCGGGTCCGGAGCCACAGGCCTTAGTCCAGATCCCATCTCCTCCACGTCCCAGGTGGACGGTCTTGGGCACGCTTGTCCCTGTGTGCTGTTCATGTAGGTGCAGTGGCACTCACTGCAGAGAATGTGTACTGGCATTGAGGTCACACTAATTTGGCCACTTTGCACAGCACCCGCTATGTAGTAATTGCTGAGAAAGTGTGTCTGCACCTGAAATTACTGTCTTGGTGTTATGCATGTGGGATTTGTCCCCGCCTCCAGGCAAGAGAGTCCCCCGTGGCGTTGAGAGTAGGGCAGCTGCAGGGGGTGTAGCTCACGCCCGCCGGTCCGAGCCCTCTGGACAGGCTCCCGTTAGCCTGCATTGTACCGACGATCTGTCCCGCCTGCGCCGCTGTCATCCTCGAGCCCCCGACGACAGGGTGGACCCGCTTGGGAGAGTGAAGAGCCCTTGGCGCCCGTGCCCAGCTTGTCTGTGTCTTTTCTGCCCTTTGCCCTGATGAGCATCCCTTCTGGCTTGGCTTTTGATGAGATGATGCTTTTAAAACAAAAGACCAGGCCGACACATACGTGAACGTGGACGTGAGATCTCTGTGCGGAAGTCACACGTAGCCTCACATACGGTCCATTTTGTGCCGTTGAGAACACAAAAACCATAAAGCGCTCTCCGTCGGGTGGCTCACCGCCACCAGCTAAGCAGAGAATCTGTTGGAAGCAGGGGTGGATTCGGAATCATCATAAAATGAGACACCTCTAGTGGATTAAAATGAGAGCCAGAGTCAGGAGACTCTCAGGTGCTCTGAAAATACACGGCAAGGTTGGCCTGCCATCTACAGAAAGTCAGGAGAGGCTCCCTGAGCAAAGCATTTCCCAAGCTGAGTCTTAAAGGGGACGAGCGGTTGGCCAAGCGAAGCAGGTTCAGAGCGGAGGGAGTTCGTCAGTGGAGATCCAGGGGTGGCTGCAGGACTCCAGTAAGCCAAGTGCATCACGGCTGGAGTAGAAGGCGGGAAGGAGGGATCTGACCATTGTTTAAAGTTTTGGACTTGTTCTTGGGGCATTAGATCACTGATGAGTTTAAAGCCCAGAAGTGACGTGTCATGCTAGGAAGGCCACTCTGGCCACACGGTGGAGACTGGAATGTCCGGGAAGCAGTGGGAGAGATGAGAAAAGGTAGGAGACCGCCGCCACAGCTCAGGCAAGGGATCGTGAGCAGAGGGCGGTAGATGGCTCGGGGGCCGTGGCAAGAGTGGGCTCCGCAGGAGGGATGTGGCAGCCGATGGGGTGAGCAAGGGGAAGCAGAAGTCCAGGAGGACCTCCCGGTGTCTGCTTGAGCAGCTGGGTGGATGGTGGTGGTGACCTGAGCGGGATGGAGAATTTAGAAGGGGAAGCAGCCGCGAAGCTTGATGGTGAGTTCAGTTTGGGCATGTTGACTGTGAGGAGCCCATCCTCACGGAAGGATCTAGATGCCCGTGGGTATTTGGTGATCCGGAACTGTAATCTAGGAGAGAGTCTAGAGAAAGTGTTTCGGGAGCTGCCAGGGCATCGGCGGTAAGAGCCATGGGGCGGGGGTGCTTACCACCCGGCGAATGCGGGTGGTTTCCAGGGGGTCTAGGACAGCAGAGGCCTGAGGGGCGCAGTTGAAGGGCCAGATGCAAGGCCAGGAGAGAGTGCTGTTGGGGGCAGCCAACGGGACGGGAGTTTTCGGGAAGAAAAACGGTGAGCAGTGTCCCGTTCTGCGGAGAAAGCGGAGGGGGAAAGGGCTGAAAAGTGTTCGCTGGATTTCACAAGCAGGTTTTCCAAGGCCGACCGAGGCTGCCTCCTCAGAGGGACGGGCTGGACCCAGACTGCGGGGGACTGCCGCCAAGCCTGCGGTGTGCACGTTTGCACCGTGAAGGGGTTATTGCGGTGCAGAGTGAGAACAGGCCAGAAAAAGAGAGAATCAGGCGAGAACAGCTAAGCTTGGTCATAGGATGGCCCTCGAGGAGTCGTGGGCCGAGCAGAGGACTCGTAGCACGTCGGAGACGGGCAAGTGGCGGACGCTCCCACGCGTTTACGTCCACAGGCATGTCTGCTCGGTCTACCTTGTGGGAAGTCTTGTAAAAGAAGTCCTTTAACAAAAGAATGCCCTGCGTATCCTTCTGCTTAAAAAAACAACTTCTGGCTACTTGCATAATTCCAGTTCATGCACCTCAGTTGTTCTCCGACTGGACGGCATCCAAACCACTCCTCCTACCAAGTCTAAAACCGAGTGGCTGCCTTGGTGGTGGCCCACGTGGATGAGCACGTTCTCGTTCTCGCCAGAGGATCTCCTCCCTGGGAACTCGGCTGGTTTGGGTGCCCCAGAGCAGTTCATGAGACACCCTGCCCGAGTACAGAGCCTTCTGTTCTCGGTGGTTTGATATTTTTGGAAATGGCTCGTAATGCATCCTTGCTCTTCTGTCTCAATGGAAACTAATGGTGACTTGTGCAGCCATGTGGAAGGAAGGACAGTCGCCCTGGCAGCCCTTGGGCATGCAGTGGGCGGCAGCGTTGGGCAGCGTGCTGGGTTTACCCACAGTCGTTTTTACTCTCTCCCTGTTCTCTGGTGAGAAGTGGGGATCGTTAGTTGGGTCATCTCAGGCTCCGTAGTGAGTGACTGAAAAGTGTAATTAGGGGGGAAAGGTTTTCAGGTGGGGGGTGGGGGCACCCAATAACTGAGAAATTGACTCATGTAAAACACTGCACACATAGATCCAAACTGTAAATGGAGAGAAGAACAAAGATGAGCAGAGGTCCGTGGCAAGGTCAGAAAGAAACTCTGGGGGCAGCTTAAACTCGAGTCACACGTAAGCCTTTTGAGAATCTGGTCAACTCTCCTGTTGGTCCGCGGGTGGCCGTCCCCAGTAGGGTCGTCGCAGCCTTTGTGTCCTTGTGTGGAGAACGTTGGATCAGATCTCCCTCGGTCCCGAGAGCCTCGCTAGCAGTGTGCTGCTTTCCTCCCGAGTTTGATCGTTGGCGGCGGGCAGTCCCTGGAGGGACGGGGCCAAGTGAGTTCTTCAGCCCTTGGAAGCCTGCTGGTCCTCACGGAGTTGCAGGGAGAATGCGCGGTGCGGTTCTTTGTGGGCCAGTGTCGTCCGGGAATCACAATATGTGCTTCTTAGGGTCTCTCTTGCTTGTTTGAAACCATTGTGATAGGATGTGTCCGTTAGAGCTCATCAGTAATCTATTTCCGTTCTGTATTCCCTATCACAAAGCAAGTGGTCTGCTTACTTTGAGTTCCTGAGGAATGGATTTCAGAAACCTGTTTTGAATGAGGGTGTTAAGAATTTGTGAAAGAAAAACCGCTCTTTCTCTAAGCTTACTTCAAACTCCGGAGAAGAAGTACTTAGCTGGGACAGGCATCACGATAGATTGTGGACAAGCTCAGAGTGAAATCCCGGTCCTTGCTGTGCGAAATGCAGAGATGCTCCATGAATCGGAGGCCGCAGTCGGGGAGTAAAAGGGGAGCAGAGAGGGGGTGCCCGTGTGCCTGGCAGAGAGCGAACGCGTCCGTCTGGCACGTGCCAGTGTAAGCCTAACGTTTCGTAGCTGACAGGGTCGGGCATTGTTGTGTTGAGCGCTCCTGCGTTACCAAGCCTGCTTTTCATCCTTTTTTTTTTTTTTTTTTTTTTTAAACTTGCAGCTCCTAACCGAAAATCTTCAGTTGGCGTGAAAAAGAACGGCCAGAGCAGAACGTTAACAAGGCAGTCTATGTCGAGAATTCCAGCTTCTTCCAACTCTACCTCATCTAAGCTAACTCATGTAAATAATTCCAGGGTACCAAAGAAACTGAAAAAGCCTGCAAAGCCTTTACTTTCAAAGATAAAATTAAGAAATCATTGCAAACGGCTGGAGCAAAAGAGTGCTTCAAGAAAACTCGAGATGGGAAACTTAGTACTTAAAGAGCCCAAAGTAGTTCTGTATAAAAACTTACCCATTAAAAAAGATAAGGAGCCAGAGGGACCAGTCCAAGCCACAGCAGCTGGCGGGTGCTTAACCAGACACGCGGCCAGGGAGCACAGAGCGAGCGCGGGGCGAGGCGCCCCGCCGCCCGGGGACAGCGCCCCCGGCACGTACCCCACCCGGCGGTCGGCGAGGACAAGGGCGAACCCCAGGGAGGCTTCCGACATCAAACTGGAACCGGACGCGGCGGACGGCTACAAAAGCAGCCTGACCGAACCGGGCCCGGACAGCCAGGAGCAGCCAGCGCCCGCGCCGCGGGAGGAAGATCTGGGCCCCGGAAGCTCACAGAAGGGGGAGGCCAGGTGTCAAAGGAGCGACAGCGGCGCGTCCAAGAAGAAATCCCGACAGGGGAAACTTGTGAAACCGTCGGCGAAAGCCGAGGAGTCGGCTCCGGGCCAGGCTTCCCCTGGGGAAGCCAGCGTGGCGCCGGAGGTGCTGGGGTCCCACCCGGAGCAGGGCGAGGGCGGTGGCTCGGAGGCCACGGCCGGGACCTACCCGGACTGGGCTCCCTCGCCCGGCGACGCTTCCCTTGTGACGTCCGAGAGCTTCAAGACGAAAGACGGCTTCAGAACTGCGAAAAGTAAAAAGAAGAGGCGAATCACACGGTATGACGCACAGTTGATCCTGGAAAATAACTCCGGGATTCCCAAATTGACTCTCCGCAGGCGGCACGACAGCAGCAGCAAGACCAACGACCAGGAGAACGACGGAGTGAATTCTTCGAAGATCAGCATCAAGTTGAGTAAAGACCACGAAAACGACAACAGTCTCTACGTGGCAAAGCTCAATAATGGCTTCAACTCAGGATCAGGCGGCAGCTCCACAAAACTAAAGATCCAGCTGAAGCGGGACGAGGAAGGTAGGGGGCCGTACGCGGAGGGGCTCCGCGAGAACGGGGTGTGCTGCAGCGACCCGCTGTCCCTGCTCGAGTCCCGCATGGAGGTGGACGACTACAGTCAGTACGATGAGGAGAGCACGGACGAGCCCTCCTCCTCGGAGGGCGAAGAGGAGGACGAGGACTACGAGGAGGACGACTTCATTCCCCTCCCTCCCGCCAAGCGCCTGCGGCTCATCGTCGGGAAGGACTCCATAGACATTGACATTTCCTCCCGGAGGAGAGAAGATCAGTCTTTGAGGCTCAACGCGTAAGCTCTCGGTCTCGGTCTTCCCTCGGCCCGGGAAGCCAGCTTGAGAGGAATCGGCAGCAGTTCCAGTCGGTTTCTGCTCGCCTGAGACCTCGTGGAGGCGGCACTTGCCCCTTCTCTCTTCTCGGCCTCATACTGTAGAAAGTGTACAGCATACTGAACTCTGCCGAGGTCTGATTTGTGCAAATTTTTATTGTACTTTTTAAACAGCCTTCGTACGTGCAATTCCGAGTTAGAGGTAAAAGCCCCGTTGTAAAATAAAGGCTCAAGCAAAATTGTACAGTGATAGCAACTTTCCACACGGGACGTTGAAAACAATAATGTGGCTACACAGTTCTCTTTTTTCTTTCTTTCTTTTCTTTTCTTTTCTTTTTTTTTTTTTTCTAACCAAGAGCATCGAGTGGCTCTTTAATATATGACTAAACAATAATTTAAAACAAATCATAGTAGCAGCATATTAAGGTTTTCTAGTATATGCTAATATCACCAGCAACGACCTTTGGCTTTCTGATTTATTTGCTAGATGTTTCCCCCTTGGAGCTCTGTCAGTTTCACACTGTTTGCGGGCCCGGGTGTGCTGTTTGTGGCCTTGGTCAAAAGAGCAGACCATCGGTTGGGAGTCGAATTGGCTTCTGTAAAAAACAAGGGAAAAACGAAAAATAAAAGGTACAGCTCACTTTTCAGCACGGTGTATGGACGAGGGTAGGCAGTGTGCGGGCTGGGTTTCGATGCGGCGTATTTATTGCTTGACATGTAAATTAAAGACCTTGTATTTAACACTTTTCAATCCTTTTAGATAAAATTGTTCTTTGCAAGAATGATTGGTGCTTATTTTTTCAAAACTTTGCTGTGAACAATGTGATGACAACGAGCAACATTTATCTAATGAACTACAGCTCTCTTAATTTGGGTCTTTGAGATTTCTGTTGCACTTGTAAAATGCTACAAGGAATATTAAAAACTCTATTCACTTTAACTTATAATAGTTTATGAAATAAAAACATGAGTCACAGCTTTTGTTCTGTGGTAAAACCTATAAAAACGTTTGTCTCTGAAAATTCAATGTAAAGAACCGAAAACCATGTATATGTTGTAAATATTTGTGTGTTGTGAGAAATTTTTGTCGTAAGAAATTAAAAGAACTTACCAGGAAGGTTTTTAAGTTTAGAAATATTCATGCCAATAAAATAGGAAAGTATAAAATATATAGTTTTAAGCACTGCATCAGTGAGCGTTCTCAGCTTATGTTAGTTTATGTATGAAAATATCAAAGATTTTTTTTTGACTCTGTTATCAGTTAAACAGAAAGAGGAGTCCGATTTAATTTGTTTTTTTTTTCTTTTTGAAGCACTTTGAGAAGAGAAATTAATTTTAAGTAACTTAATGAGCAAATTTTTGATTCCTACTTTATGTTCAAAACCAACCTTTCGTTTCTGTGGATGATTTTACACACCATCGGACAAAGCATTTGGGAATCTGCATCTGTAGCAGGTGTTTCACGCCAGGGGGTCTCTTTATTTCTGGGAAATGTGTACGTGTACTTTCAGATAATACCGTGTTCCGAAGTAAAATCAACTTAGGGGATTTGTGTAGTGTCTGTAGAAAAGTAGCCCATGTCTTAAGATATTAAAAGGAATCTGCCCGTAACGAAAAGTCCAGTGGAGAAAACCTCAATGCTTACTGTTGTTTCTGGTGGATTCCTACCAGCCTCCAGGTTCTGGGGACGTCATTTGAGTTCCTGAAAACGACTGCTAACGGGTTCCAAGCAGAAATTAATAATACTCATAAAAGCGTTTGAAACTTAGAATTTGGTTTCTCCTCACGTTCTTTAAGGACTTACTTGGTGGTCTTACATCGTCTCGTTCCCGTCTGTCGTGTGCACGTTAGCCCCTCAGGTATCCCGCGGACGCGTGTGCACACTTGCACGCGCTCACACCCCCTCTGCACCGCGTGTCGTCCTTCACCTCGCCCCGCGGGGCGGCCCCCCGAGGCCTGTCCCGAGGCACGCGGAGCGCATTAGGGACCACGTCCGGGCCTCGCGCTGTCCCTCGTAGGAGAGGCGTGCGGCCCGCGCCACTAAGGACGGCCGGGCGCGGAGCCTGCGTCTGGAAAGTCCCAGAGAGCGGTGGGCCGCCTCCGCCACTCCCGCCTTAGTCTGGAGCGTTGCGAAGAGGTTCGGAGACTAAGTCTCAAAACCTCCTCTTGAGATACCAACAACGGCCATTTCAGGAATTTCCATCGTAAGGAAGAAGTCCCAAGGTCCCCCGTTCCCCGCCTTTCTCCACTTTCCAGCTTCGTTCTAGTAACTTATTTATGTCTGTTTTAACTTGATGGTGGCCTCGTCTTCTGAGGCCGACCTCCCCGTGGGTCTGAGCGGTGGCGGCCGCCACCCTCCGGGGAGACCCCATTTCCGTTTCTAAAGTTCGGGGCCTCGGGGCCGCTCTGGCTCTGCTCAGAGCTTCACTGTGGGGCCTGGCCAGGGCCACACGCCGGTGACCACTCGGAAGAGGGCTGCGTTCAGTACGGCTTTTAGCTCGAGCTTATGCAATGATTCGTAACAGATTTTGGCGTTGTGTGAGAATCCGGAAGCGATCAGAAAAATACATGTAAAGTTTTCAATTTTCAATCGTTTTTCAAATTACTGTCTTAAATTGTTTTGCTGAGTTGTAATACTTTTGAGATACAATGTATTCCTTGTACTGAAAGAATTGAAAAAAAAAGGACTTTTTCAGCATTTGAGGTAAGTTCTTTAACGTTTCATTAAAGACATTTTTTACAAATATTTTGTACATGCACTTGCAGTATTGAGGTTAATCATTTTAATAAATTCGGAAATTAAAACAATTTGGCCGGTGTTCGCTGTATCTGAACGGAGAAGGTCCGAGGGGTGACTTTCTCCGGAAGGTTTCCACGTAAAGTAGAATTTGTAAAGCTTTTCAGTGTCTGCGAGTGTGGCGTCTTTCTGAGCCCTGGTCTCCGTTTGCTTCTGACGCCCCCTCAGTGTAAAAGATGGAGGGGGGGGGGGCCTGGGTGGCTACGTCTGTGGGGCGTCCGACGCTTGGTTCGAGCCCAGCCCGTGACCTTGCCGTTTGTGGGTTCGAGCCCCGTGTCGGGCTCTGCGCTGGCCGTGCGGGAGCCTGCTTGGGATTCTCTGTCTCCCTCTCTCTCTCCCCCTCTCCCAGTCGTGGGCTCTCTCTCCCTCGGAATAGATAATAATAACGAGGGGAAAGGGCTCCTTATCTCGGCGGGGAGGCTCCTTTCAGACCACACGGCCCTCGAGCCAAGACTCGGCTCCCGAGGACCCGCTCGCTCCCCTCGCTGAACTGGACAAGACTGGCATGCAGAGCTGGCCTGGGTCCCTTCTCCCAGTTACTGTAGCAAAACCTAGTCGAAGGAGGACACGGGACCCACTGGCTCGAGTCCGGGAGCCGGAGCCGGCGCAGCCGGGCGGCGTCCGCGTGGCCCCGACCGGGCTGCGGGCCCCCGACCTCTCTGTAGCGCCCGCGAGTCTGCGGGTGCCAGCGCGAGCCAGGCAGGCGGGGCGGGTGCTCGGGCCTGGGGTCCGCTCTCGGCTTTCGTCTCTGAAACGGGTCCCTTCCCCTGCCCAGCGGCCAGCCGGCGTGCAGCACTCTGCCCAGGGCCCTGGCGTGATTTCTGTTCCTCGAATGCCAGCTCTGTCACTGGCATGCGCCCCGCTGTGCTGGCCGCGGGGCCAAGTGGAGTTCTGCACCCTCGGGGTTGTGGTAAGCGTGGCCCTGGCCTGCGAGGGAGGGTGACACGGCCTCCGGCTTCTCCCTCACCGGTGTCGTGGGGGTGCGGGCACAGCTTGCACCCGCTAGCGGTGAGGCCCGGCGCGGGGCGGGGGGGGGGCCCCCCCCCAGCGGATTTTGACTCTCAGGGCGGGTGGACGGGCAGGATTGGGAAGGGGGTTCCCACCAGGGCCGCCCCGCCCCCTCTTACCGTCTGCGCCTCCCAGGGATGTAAGTTAACGTTCATGGAAACAGCTGGAAAGTTTCCAGCCTGGAGGACGGCAGACGGCCCCTGGCCTCGGGCCAACGGTCTTTAAAAGGCAAGTGACTGTTACCAGGTCCTCGTCAGATTTGTGAGTCTTTCTGCTGAGTTCAGTAGATCCTGACTTCCACCTGTTGGGGGCAACCCGCCCCGCTGGGTCTGCTCACACACCAGAAGGCTGGCGGGCAACGCGCACACGGGCGCCCGGTCTGAGACCCCGAGCGGCACCATCCGGAGGGGCGGCAGTGAGGTGACGTTTCTTTAACGTTTGTAGTAGTGCGGGGGGTGGGGAGGCGGGGGTGAGAGGCCTCCGTGTGCGTGTGTGTGTGTGAGACGGGTGTCACTAAAGCCCTGGGAGCCGGTGAGGTGACCCAGGGGAGGTGGGCAGACCACCCCCGGGCCCTCCTCCTGACCCGGGAGAGAGCGGGCACTTCCTGGAGTAGCCGGAGTCTGGCTGTGAGGGAGGGAAGGATGGCAGCTGGCATGGGGGGTGGCGAGGAGGCGATTCTTCTCATTAACGAAGGCCACGTGGTGAGGCGAGAAGCTTCTGGAGGGGACGGGCTCCCAAAAGGGAAGGGGTAAAGTTATTCAGAGTCTGGTCTTCGTGCGGGTCCGTCTTCCTTGGCGACAAGTGGAGGGGGGGGGGGGGGGGGGGCAGCTCCAGCACGAGGTTTTCCATTTTGTCCGCAAACAGGAGGCGAGGTCACCTGGGAACGAGGGGGAGGTGAGAGTCCCCAAAGCTTAAGGAGCGCGATGGAGAGTCGATATCGAGAAAGGAAAAGCGAGCTGACTGTAGAAACCTGATAAAATTCGTTCCGGAAATCTTCACCAGTCACCTTCTAGGTGCCAGTCGATGTCCCAGGCACCCACCGGCACCAAGGCCAATGGCAGCACTTCTCAGCCCAGGTGCGAGGCTCTCAGCCAGGTGGGGGTCGCAGAAGGCAGAAGGATAGGGCTCGGGTGGGCAGGAGAGAGTGTGAGGGAACAGGAGATGTGCCCACGGCCTGAGTGGACCCCTGGCCTGGAGGTGCTCCTGTGGTCAGAGAACAGTCCAGCAGGAGTCAGACAAGCACGTAGAGAGGACAGGAGGTTGAGGTCAGAATTGACTCTCAGAACTTGGGAAGGGTTGCATTGAAATGATGACGGGGTCCCCCCCCCCCAGAAAACGGGGTGCCTGGGTGGCTCAGTCGGTTGAGCGTCCGACTTCAGCTCAGGTCATGATCTCGCGGTCCGTGAGTTCGAGCCCCGCGTCGGGCTCTGGGCTGACGGCTCGGAGCCTGGAGCCTGCTTCCGATTCTGCATCTCCCTCTCTCTGCCCCTCCCCTGCTCGCACTCTGTCTGTCTGTCTGTCTCTCTCTCTCTCAAAAATAAATATTTTTAAAAAAGGAAAATTTAATTGATGACAAGGTCCCTGATGGCACCTGGGGGTGGAAAGTGGCCTGGTTCTGGGAGAACAAGATACTGGACAGACCTGAGGTCATCCAAGATGGCAGCAGACGGCCTTCACTGTGAGTGCTAGGACCAAGCAACAGCCCCAGACAGAAACAGCCCGTAGGGGACAAACACGGGGAGATACCCTACTCAGGGGTGGGGGCGCCTCGCTGAGCCTCGCAGTGAGGTGAGTAAATGCTCTGAGATTGTGTTTCAGCCCCAGATCCAGCTCCCGAGGTCCTGGCTGTACTGGGAGCCATGCCTGGAGAGAGTCACAGAGCCGAGGGTCACGGGGGCCAGCCTCAGTCACAAGGCCCCCCCTTCACCAGGTGAATTCTAGAAAGCTCTGTCTCCTAAAAAGTCCCGTGGATGACACATAGCAGTCACTGCTTTGCACCCTCCCTTCCATGCAGCGATGTGGGGCCAGGAGAACTTTGTCCAAAGGTTATCATGCAGATAAGCCCGGTGACCTCACCCCATTAGTCAAATAGACTCGGGGGGCTTGCAAGGGACACGAGGTGCCCCACGTGTTTGCTGGACCCGGACGGGTGTGGACTCGTCTTTATCTGGAAGAGTCCAGCACGAGGTTGCCTCAAGACAGCAAAGAAAAAACCCAGGGTTTCCTCCAGCTTGGCGAGCTGCTGGCTCTCTCTCAACAGTGACTTTCCACAAACGTGACCCAGGCACACAGGAGGAACCGCATGTGCCCGGGAGGCTACCTGTGTCATCTCCAAAAACAGAAGTGGGGATCCTCGGGCACTTGTTTGCTCAGGGGACACACTTTGGAAGCGACAGTCACACGGAGGGGGACGTTCACACGGTCTTGCATAGTTAACCTCCCGGAGCGGATACGTGTTCCGATTTCCTTGCACCTGCTGGTTGGGCGGCTGTTAGCTTCTCCCCCGGAAGCCGGCAGGTTGGGGACGGTCCCTCCCAGGGTCACTCTCCTGCAAAGCAAATAGAAGGACGCTTATTTCCTCCTCTTGCCAGTCGAACCACATTTTTCTCCTGGGGGTAAGCCGGGGAGCGGAGGATGGCCCGACCAGCCTCCAGGTGGCCCGGAGCCGCCCCGGGAAATGCTCAGCCCGGGTCACGGCTGGCAGAGGGCTGACGGTCTTGCTGCTGTCCCCCAGCTACGTGAGCGTGGACGAAACACTGCTCCTCTCTGGTCAAACGGGGGGTAACCCTGCCGCTAACTTTGGGGCTGTCGAGGGGTAAGACGGAGTGCCGTGAGCCCTCCCCTGGGGCCCGGTCCCCAAGTCAAGTTAGTGCCGCCTGGTGGGCCTCCTCTTGGCCTCTGACCTTTGCCCTCCCCAGTTAACATCCGCCCAAACAGCCTCAGTCACAACCATCTCCGTTCCAGCCTGGACACTCTCTGGGCCACCGGAACTGGTCTCCGCGGCCGCGATTCCAGCTCTGTCTCCCTCCGGCCGGTGCCTCTGTGGGCCAAGCCGGGCCTCCCTGCCCCATCCCCATCCCTCTTCTGGGTTTACCTGCTCCCTTGACAACCTTCTCAACCTCAGCCAACAGGTGCAGGGCCCTCAAAAGGCACAGGGGCTGCAGGAGCGACTCCGCCCAGCTCTTGCCCGCACAAATACACAAATAGCAGTTAAGTGTGATAGATGTGCCGAGAAGCACAGAGGAGGTGAGATTAAGAAGGATCCAGAGGAGCCGGTTCCTAAGCCCCAGGGGCAGACAGGCAGCAGAGCGGCGGCGTCCTGGAGACGGGGAAGGACAGGATGTTCTCCGGGAAGGATGGTGAGACGTTGGGCATGGCCAGTCCAGAAGGTTTTAAGGGGCGGGTGGGGGGCGGGGGGGCCGCCTGAGGAGCCGGGGCGGGAAAGACAGGGAGACAGGGAATCACCCGGGTTAGGACCAAGGGCTCCGGTCAGGCCACCTCCTGACTTGACTTCCCGTCTGTAAAACGGCCTCGATCGTCATGCCAGCCTCACAGAGGATCAAATCAAGCAGGAAGAGGATGCCTGGGTGCCGGTGTGGCACACGGTGGGTGGTCAGCAGCTACTGGTCAAAGCCA